ATATAAGGCCACGAAAATTAATCAATTGGTTTTCATAACTTGAAAAAAAATTTTTTGTATATTTTACAGCTTATCTGAGACAATGATAAAGTTGCCTGATAATAATTGAATTCGGTATTGTCGACATTGCTGTAATGCCAAAATCCAATGCCGATAACACTGAAATCAAAAACTTATTGAATTCGGCCAAGACAATTTTTATTAGTTGTCCCAGAATTTGAGAACAGCTATAATAACCAGATGAGATTTTACAGCTATTCTCTTAAATTCTGAGACAACTGATAAAAATTGTCTCTGCAAAATTCGATAAGTTTTTGAATTTGGTGTTATCAGTATTGGATTTAGGCATTACAGTAGTATTAAAAACACTGAATTTAAAACTTATCAAATTTGGCCAAACCAATTTCTATCGGTTGTCTCGGCATTTATGAAAATAGCTATAAGAAATTTTTTAAAAAAAGCCAGCTGGCTAGGACAATTTAAAAGATATATGTTATAAAAACCAAGAAATTAAATTTGTACAGCCTAATATTTGAACTATTTTTAAAATTTTTTTAAAAAAATTTAAATATAGTTCAATACTAACACTAACCTTTACCCATCTTATAGCTTGCAACTGATTAACTTTGTATATGTTACTTTCCCCAGCTTTATCTTGATCAATTGCATGTTCAAGTTGCATATGACAATAATGAAGCTTAAACGATGCAATGATACCAGCATCCATTGGCTGTATCTTAGATGTTACATTTGGAGGCAGCTTAAGTACCTTTATATTAGTTAGAGTAATAGCACTACTATGTGAAGAGGCACCATCCAAGATAAGTAAAACATGATGATTTGACTCTCTTATTTCTTCATCAAAATTTTTAATTCATTCCTGAAAAAAATATATATATATTTAATAACTTTACTAACTAGACAATTTTTGATTTGTATTCACAGGTTGAATTAATGAATATCAGGTATATACTGAGAGACAAGTTTCCTGATATATACCTGGTAGTCTGCTATAGATCCATAAATCTATGGCAGGCTACCAGATATGTATTAGAAGACTTGTCTCCCTGGTATATACCCAATATTTAACCCATGATTATTACCTGAAAAAACTTAGCAGTCATCCAGGCTTTTAAATTATTTTAATAATAAAACCCAAGTTCTTTTCCAGTTTTTTTTTTAAAACATCTAGGTTTTGTAGCATGACCAATAATGAAGAGTTAAAGCTTGTGCATACCATCAGCATTTGATGTAAATACAATTGTAAGTCAGATACAATTTTTTTTTGCCCCTTCAATTTGACATGATGTGATAGTATGATCAGGAGCTATAGAATAAAACAATCTAGTCTCGTCTATATTATAAATATCTCTTAGAGAATATTTATCAGTTTTGCAAATAATAATGGGAAGGTTTAATTCTATAGCTTCAAGATTAGCAGAACCACTCTCACCATAACACTTAAAGTTATAAAAATTGTGTCTTTCTTGAAAAGCTTGTAATCATCCATTTGAGAACTCTGGATGGTTATTTTCTAGAATTTTCATTAAATTTGCTAATTTTTTTTCCTTGGCTTTAATTATATCTCCATTTAGGCATACATCTCGATTCGCACATTGTAAAACCCAATTAACTAGCGCAATATCTAATTCAGGGAACATAACAACACGGTGTCTTTTAACTCCAAAATCACTTGTAAACATTGTTTCAAACTCTTCTTTTCTTTTCAAAATTTCAGAAATTGTACTTTGAGCTGAGGTTTTTAATAGATTGAATTCTTTTTTTGCCTACTCTGCAAGCTCTTTTTGGGTAAGGGTGGGATTGGTATAATAATGATTATATATTGATTTTTTTTGATAATTTTGCAAATTGCTAGCTAAAATGATCTTATCTTTTTTTTTCCCTATAATTATAATAGAATAAAGAAAATATTTTATGAAGTCAAGACGAAAATTTAACAAAAAAAATCATCAATGTAAGCTACTATATTGTTAATTTAAATATTTATTTATTATTTATTTACAAAATTATTATAATTTTTTATTACATGATTTTGCTATT